CCGTGTAGTGAGAAGGAACGACCGGGGCCGTTGCATACTGACGGTGATAACCGCCATATATGCTGACAACGATGGCCGGATCCATTGACGACGAGGGCCGAGGCAGCAGCGACGAGTTGTCGACGCGAGCCACGATGGCGAGTCGTCGATGAGGGCCAACGAGAGCCATGAGGCAGTCCGCGGAGGCACATACCTCACCCAATGAAGTAGTGGTCCGAGTAAGGTAGCCTGCGAAGGCACGTACCTCACCCAGATCTGGTTCCCTATAAGATAAATATGCAAATTTTATAGTTATTGATATTTGAGATATCAAGTCTGGAGTAGGTCCCATACATATAAAATAATAAGTCGGGAGTAGATCCCAGTATTATGAAAGGCATGTAAAAATTTCCGGGTCTTGCTCTTGTTAGGCTGTGCAAATGTCCCGAGTAGCTGACCCGTATGTGTAAGCACTTGTATCTCTGGCGTATGGTTGTGAGGTTCATGACCGTGACCATGTGAGCCGTGTGAGTAAACAATGTCGTCACATGTGAGTTTGCACTACTCAAGTATTTTTGCAACCGTTAAGAGAAGACTAGAGCAGTTGGTGCTTCACGAAAAAAGAGAATACTTGTGGAACGCATGTTAGGTGTAGTCCCAACTACAAACTTGGAGTTGTGGGTAGTCAGGAACGCAGTTTTATAGTATGGTATGTGTCGACGAAATATGGTCGGCAGTCTACCTAGGGGTATGCCCAAGGTAGTAGATTATCGGCAGACAGGTGCGCAAGTCCCAAACAAGACGGTGACGCAAGACAGACACGAGGTTTTATCCAGGTTCGGCCGCCAAGAAGGCGTAATACCTACGTCCTGCGTCTGATTTGTATTGCTGTATGTCAATGAGAGATGATCTTTAGAGGGGTCCCCTGCCCGCCTTATATAGTCCGGGGGGCAGGGTTACAGATCTGGAAACTAATCCTAGTCGGTTACAATTGCCATATGTGGCCGGATAAGGATTCCTATTCTAATCGACCAGGATCCTGCTTGGTCGCCAAATCCGTCTTGATTCCTTGTGCGGGACTCCGATCAGGTTAACTGGGCCGCACGTCATCTTTCAGGTGGACTGAACCTATCGATCCAGGCCAACCCAAGCTTAGCCGTAAGGGTATAGGGGTTAATACCCCCACAGTATGGCTACGGAGACACATGTATAATATCCAGAGATATATAAAAATTAAAGAATATTTAGAAAAATATTAAAGTTGTGACTTAGCTTGATTGATGACCGAGCAGAGTAGTCGACGTGTCGTTGACGTGAACGCAGCGTGCTGTAAGGGTACCACTGTGGGATGACGACGGACAACGAGTGCCATGGCGGGTATTGTCTGGGTGCCATCGTGGGATGACGAAAGGAGGCGAGTGCCCGCTCGAGATCCACAGCATGTGTGGCCATTGGAGTCGGAGTTGGCTCTTCGAACTCGGCGTGAAGGCGGAGTCAAACTCGATCACAGAACTCGTCGATTATTATGGTCCTGTAGATGATGTCGGGTCTTCTTGTTTGCCTGCTCATGATCGTCTTCGCATAAGCATGCACGTGTATGCTTGTCGTAACGATGTATACGTGTGTACGTCGCCCATAGCTTACTTCCTTGATTGCTATTGACTTGCTGGTTGTATGTGCACAAGTACAAATGCACATTCGCACGAGTACACGCACAAATTCGCAGGAGTATACGCACAAATTTGTAGCTTGCATGTCTTGAACTGCCCTCTGGTAGATTCTTGATCGAGCCTAGTGTTTGCCAAATAGGAACGGAGTCGGACTCGGGAGAACAGAGTCAGCACAGGCAGGACTGCTGGAAATTGGAGTCGGACTCGGCGAGACGAAGTCATAGTCGGCACCGGCAGAGTTGGACTCGGTGAGGGCGAGTTGGAGTTGAACTCGATCATCGAGGTGGAATCAGCAGCCCGCAGAGGGTGCGTGTCTCATCCAGCGGCGTGGTGTCCGAGTAAGTAGCCTCAGAGGCGCGTACCTCACCCAGCAGCATGGTTCAAATCTAGTCCCTACAAAATAAATATACAAAATTCTATATGTATTAATATTCAGGATATCAAGTTAGAAGCAGGTTCCATGCATGTAAAATAATAGGTTGGGAGCGCATCCCAGTATTATAAAATACATATAATTTTTTACGTCTTGCGGGCTTATGGTCGTGAGGTTCATTACCGTGACCGCGTGAGCCGTGCGAGTAAATGCGTCACAAATATGAGTTCGTATTACTCAAGTAATTTTACAACTGTTAAGAGAAGACTAAAACAGTCGGCGCTACGTGAAAAAAGAGAATGCGCGCGAAGCACATGTTATACACCAATTAGATGTAGTTCCAACTACCCAAGCACGGAGCAGTGTGTGAGTAGCCGGGAACGCAAATTTATTGCATGATCACGGGGAACATGTATAATATCTAGAGATATATAAAAAGTAAAGAATATTTGAAAAAATATTAAAACACGACTTAGCTAGATTGTCGGCCGCGTGGAGGAATCAGCGTGAGATCTCGGTGTGTTGGGCTTGAGAGCCCCCAGGTGTCATCTTGACCTTTGTGCCGAGTAGTCGGTCGCCGTGGCCGAGTAGTGGATCAGCACGGATGAGTAGCCGGACACCCACGGCCGAGTAGTCGGTCGCTGTGGCCGAGTAGTCGATCGGTGAGCCGTAGCATCCGAGTAGATGGATGTGGGCTCGATGGCTCATGTACGTCGTAGTCGGACAGCTTGATGCAGTCGGACGGCTTGCTTCATGCAGGAGTCGGATCGCGCTGGAGTCAGATCCCATGTTGGAGGCAGGTCACGAGGATTTTTACAGGCGTGACCCGTGCATGCGTATACACGTATATGCAAAAACCAAGATTAATACGTCGATCACTTTTGGCTAGCTTGCTTGCATCATCTTCACGTCATGGTGATGTAGACCATGCATAATTTGTTTGCTTGCTTGCTGATCGGCTCTTATCCGACTAGAGTCCGACTCCCTCTACCACGCGATCCCGTGCACCCGCGGCAATCCCGAGTCGGGCTGGCATGTCGACAATGGCGTTGTATGCCTCGGACACGACCTTCTTGCCATGGGGCTGCACGCGCTCATGCACGTCCAGGTGACCCGACGGAGGCGTAGTGTTGAGCGAGAGCGAGAGCATCACGGCCGCGGGCTCCTGATCGAGCGTGACCTTGTTTGCTTGTCTGAGGTACATGGAAGCTATAATTAGCTTGCATGGTGGTGTAGATCATTACGTAATGGCATTGAAGTCTTCGTGTTGATGCATGCCGTGGCTCAAGCTTTGACTTCGTATTCGCCAACATGAGATGCATGCGGGACAGATTCCGATCTCGTTGCAAGTTTTAAGATCGGATCTGATAAAATTTGCTACAGCTGAGGTCACCTGGCTTCTTGCCGACTTGCTTCCTGGTGTTGGTCCTGGCCAAAATCCAGGCGAGTCGGAGCTGGATGCTTGAGAGGTGAAGTCCCGTCGCAGGTAGCCGGACGGTTGTCGTCGCTGTGATAATCTGCTTGAGACGTGAAGTCCCGTCGCAGGTAGCCGGCCGAAGGCTGTCATTGCCATGACGTCGAGCTCGTAAGGCTGCTAAAGAACGCCGCCGCGGGAAGTCAGGTTGCCACGAACGGTGTTGTTCTTGAGGTCCGCCGAGCTCTCGAACGCAATTGCACCAAAAGCCTCCACCTGGCGCGCTAGCTGTCGGTGTTTGATGACCGACAACTCGTCACGGGGTTACCCAGGACGATGTTCGAAGAGCTTCGGCGTACGTAGAACTCGACGCAAAGAGACGAATGATTTATACTGGTTATGTCGAGTAATAGCCTTTACGTCCAGTTGGCATGTTGCCTTTTGTGTTGGATTGATTGTATAATTGTTAGGGTTATAAGAGGTGCACCGTACCTCTCTTTATATAGAGGAGAGGGTAAGAGCACGTATCTAGTCCTAGTCAGTTACAAGAGAAGAGTTCTAGTCCTATTACAGAATGTAGCTTTCGTAGTAAGCCGACTAAGTTGATCTGGAATAGCTTGAAGTCCTTGTCACCTTGTCCCGCATCCTTCAATATCATAGGCCATCCCAGTGCCCATCCGGATAGAACACCTGTGGGGAACCCCTAGGACTGGTCCACCACACACATGCATGCAGCGACTGTAGGTCGTTGATGTCGAAACGACCGAGGCCATGGGAAAGCAGAGAGCCGGCCGGCCAGAATTGAGGGTTGCACAAGAAAAATGAAGGGAAAATAGATTTTTTTTATATATATAGCTCGATGGTAAAACCATGCACTGTTGACTCTTGTGAGCTAGTTTCCAAGTGCAAATCATATGTATTTTTATTTAACTAAAAATATATGACATATTGGACCCACTAGATCAGTGCTAAAGGGACCTGTTCTGACAGGTGGGCGTGTATGCTAGTGTGGACTCTAGTGCTTTAAAAAGAAATCAATAAAAAAAATTGATGCCCCACTTTTGTCGATTTATAACCTTTACAAACTAGCCTTTATTATGGCGAAGATTTTCATCGAATGAAATTGGACAAGCTTTGTGACACCTTGATATAGGTTTAAATCTTGACATGTGTACGCTTTATAAACAAGACCAAAGGGAACAAAGCGGGAGCACCCAAACAATAAACAAACGTATAGCGAAGGGAGTGCTAAAGTTTGAGAGAAGATAAAAAGCTGTAATGTACACCGCTAGCAGCTTTCTGGTATTTACATCTCTTCTATTCTATCTAAGCTAGGAGTACTAAATAAGAGAGCCTTTTGTGCCCCAAAAATTCGCCGCGCGCTAAAAAGCTGGGCCAAACTCGCCGGCTCCTTTAGATAACCGAGGCCAGCAAAAGGAACACAGTAAAAACAGGCGAGGAAAAAAGAAGAGAAAAAAGCACACGCACGGTAGAGTAGTAGTAGACTCTAAACTAGAACGCACGCACGCAGCTAGCTTACGTCTGAGAAGGAACAACTAGCTAGCTAGAATGGCGCTGTAGCGACGTCCATGGAGTGCCGCCGCCGTCGACCACGGCGGCCGCCTTTGCTCCCGCCGCCGCAACAGCCTTTGTTGGAGCAGCAGCAGCCGAGCTCGACGTCGTCGTCCGACCAGGAGTCTATGGAGCTCGACTTCCGGACTGTCGTCATCTGCACGGGCTTGAGGCCCTCCGTGAAGATCCGGATCGCCTCCTCCTCCGTCTTGGTGCTCACCACGTACAGCGCCGCCTCCTGCAACATGCACAGAAAAAACACTCACTGTTATTTAATTAATTTATTCGTATTTATATTTACTGTATTCATTAAATAATTAATCCAAACCCAAACCACCTACTAGTACGTACGTAGTGCGTGTTGTTAACACGTACGTACGTACGTATCGTGCACGTATGGAATATACGTGTAAAGTACGAAAACAAAGACATCACGGTCGTCGTCGTTGTCACAAGTTATGCGACTTGATGGGTACGTACGTACGCAAGGTCGTCTGGTCGCGGTACACGAATAGTCCATCTGCGACGTGCTGTAACAGCGCACACAAGGAATATTAAATTATTGTGCCGGCCGGGCACGTCTCTGTCTGTCACGGTTGCACCGGTTAACGTGTGGCCAGTCGGGCGCATGGGGGTACACGTACGAGTACGACGTTCAGGTTGCGTGATGGAGACCCGTACGTCGTCATGGACACGTCGCACGGCAATTATTTGGGAACAGTACCCTACCCTCGCCTTCGTACGAAGTTACTCCGTTGTCATATGTTTCATTTCTTTTCAAAAAAAATAAAAAGAATAAAATTTATGGTATGTGGTTTCTAGAATTGTTTCGTCCTAAAGTACAAGGTATACCAAAAATTTAAAATAAATTATTAAATAAAAAAATGACGTAGAACTCTTTTTTTTAACTATATAGAGAGATTTAATAAAAAAAACTATATATAGAGAGAGAGATTTTATACTCATTCATATTTTAAACCTCAAGATATTGAATAAAACAAATGACACGTACATGTAGCTCTTTTTTAACTATAAAAAGAGATTTTGTGCTCATCATATTTTAAATCTGGTGGTAGACAATAATAAAGATATACCAGTAATTAGTATGCATGTAAATGATTTTGTTTAATTTGAAGGAAGTTAATTCACCTAAAATACATTTTAATTTAGTACAAAATATGAATACATCAATACTTTACATTTCTGGATACCTGCTTAAAATGTACTACAAGCACTAAACACTTAAGGCTTTTAATTAGGCATTAATTAATATTTGTTCAGTCTATTTTGTGGATAGAGAAAGGTAGGTGACACTACAGGGAAAGGTGGAGTGATGCAATGAACCTAAACACGTGGAAATGGAAAGGACTGCCTACTTGAATAGGTTTTCAGGAACAGTGACACTCCAATTATTTGGGAATTATTTTACTATTATTAGTTATCATAGTACTTTGGAAAGAAAATATGTAAATTCGCAACACATGGCAATCTAGGAAACTTTGTATCGATGTGTTATATATTTTGTATATATATGAATTATGAAATATACATACTCGACAATGTTTTTACGAGAGGGAAAAGAAGGGACGACGGAGGGGAAGATGCATTTACAAATCAAGAGGAAATGTGATACTCGCGTACTTGCTTATTACTACAAAATTTTGGATTTGTGAAAAGAAATTTTAGATCACACACATTAATTTATCAGCAGGACCGGGAACGATGCAAGTTCTGGGTTAAAATAATCTCACATCATACGGCTCATCAGTCACAAGGACGACCGGGAAATTAAATATTCCTAGTAGTGCATATATACAAATCACAAATGTATGGCATATATATAATGCATTATGTATTCATAATATGTGTGGCTTACCCTTGCGATCTTGATCTGGTCGAAGGTGAGCGTCTTGGGCTCCCACTCTATGGACGACATCCGCCCCGCCTCCCCCACCCTGCATCTGCTGCTCGTCGTCGCCGCCATCTCTGCCAGCGCCGCCATGGATGCAGGCAGCAGCCTCTTCCTCTTGGATCGGTAGTATACCCGGCCGTATGTGTATAAATAAATCCGGAAAATACTCCACGCCCTTTTGTAATAATACTTATATTCGACGTCGTCGTCAACAACCTCTCCTGTTGATTCGAGTTTGCTAGCTCTGCCCTTCTGCGCGCTGCGTTCGACAACGATGAAGGCCACAGAGATGGCGCCACGGCCGGCAGGTATATATACCACGGCACGGCCACGGGCGGGCGAGACGTGTCGCTCCCGTACGGGCCACGCGGCGCGCTAGCTGCATACGTCGTCGCAGTCGTCGTCTGTCCCGGCCCGAGGTGTGGCTGTGGTGTGCTAGTCAGGTGCGGCCGGGACACGTAGCGGCGTCCCCGGGGTGGGTCAGCCGCCGAGCCCAATCGGGGCTCGCCGCGTCGCAGGCGCATCGATCGGCTCCCGGGTCGCGTTTGCGTGCCGGGCCTGGACTCGCCACCAGGCTGGACGGTTCTTTATCGGCATATGCCACCTCGTGCGTGCTCCCCGTCCATACCGCATGCATGTGCCGACCGCCGACCGGCCTTACGTGCATGCACGAGGGCGCTAGCATGGATATGGCTCGATCGGCCAGTGCAATTCGATCACGGTGACAAAGAAGGGGAGGCCAAGATGTTGTGGTATTCACTGTCTCGCACGTGTGCACGCTGGGGTTAGCCGTTGCTGCGGCACGCTTGCGCTGCATGACACACGTGACGTGACGCGGCTATCGTGACACCAGAGGTACCTACATGCGAAACCGGCGATCGAGCGAAAGAAAAGGCCGAGATCGTTTGTGTGCGAGTGCCGGGTGCGTATATGCACCGATCGGGCCCTGCTGCATGTGGTGGGGACACGGCCCCTGTGGCGGAGAGGCGCTCCACGTCCGGCAGGGGGCACCACCATCCCTTTCGCCTCGATTCCATAGCAGCATGTGTGCCTTCGCTAGCTTTTCGTTCCCCTGCTTCCGCCTATCGCGCAACACATGTCTACTCCACCAGCCTATACTTACGTATATATACATATACATACATACATACATGTGGAAGAATATAATGGTGGAGAGAGTACGTAGCTAGGTAAAATCGTTTTCATTTGGATCCTTTTCTATACTTCTCCAGATCTATCTCACTGTTTTATGTAATCATAAACCAGTAAATTTTATGGACGGTTTGTAAATTTCCACGGCGGCGTCATTTACATATGCTAACTTTTGGATTTCGATACTTGTTTCATCGAACTTGTATGGTGGTCCCATAGCGGGTTACAAACTCTTCAGTTTCGATATTTGACCATCTAAACTTGTCATTTAGATCACTGAACTTGTATGCACCTGAAGTGCACTAAAATCCTTTAATCATAAACCCTAATATGAAACTGTAATCCTAACTTTAGATTCACCAACATCAAAAAATCATGTTTGAATATTCACCACTACTAAATAATTGTCAGTTGTTTTGCATTTACGGAAGCGGACACGGCGTCCACCTTTGGCCAATCGACTCAGTTAATCAGCCATTTTTGGATGTGGGAACGACGTCGGCCTCTAGCCAATCACCTCTGTTAGACTTTGTTTGGATCCATAGAACTAGTTGGCTAATTTTTAGTCTCTAAGTATCCAAATAGGTGGACTAATTATTAGTCTACTAGTTAGGGACTAGTTGTTAGTTTACTGGTCCACTTATAAGAGCTAAGAGCATCTCCAAGAGATTAGCCAAAAAGGCTAGCCAAATTTACTGATTTAGCTACTCTCTAAAATAAATTTGACAAAAAAATACTAGAGTACTCCAATAGACTGTAAAACCAAGAGGCTGGACGGCTAGTGAGGTAGCCTATCCAAATGTAGAGAGCGAATAAGGTGAAATGGAGAGCTACTAAATTTGTAGAGTCATTTTATAGAGTATGTTGGAGACGTTTTTCTTTTAATAATAGCCAAATTTACCTTTAAAAAATTATTTAGCTAATCTGTTGGAGATGCTCTAACAGGACTAGTTTTTAGTCCTAGTCTATCTAAACAGGTCCTTAATCAAAAAAATTCAGAGACGAACAGATGATCGCCTTCGTAAATCCATTAACAAAGGCACTCAATGGTTCTCAGAAAACCAAAACAAAATGTGTCTTTAAGGAATCAAACCCACATCACACTCAACCATAACATTCCTCGATCTATCACTACACTGCACACTTATTTGTGTTTATCTATAATATGCTATATTTTTATATCAACATTTGTTAATCTTATATTGAATATTTTGACTACTAAATGAACTCCAATGAAAAAAGTTTCAACCATAAAGTTGCACTACAGCTTTGGTATAGGATGTGTCTCCATCCGAGTTTGTTTGAAAAAAATTAAAATTTTGAATCTCAAAATATGTGAATTTAAAACAAATATTTGAGATAATAAATAACATTAAATACAACTTTATCAACAAAAAAATTGTAGATCAAAGTCAGCCACTACAAATTTGGTATTAACTATGTGAGCATCTAAGGTCGTTTAGAGATTCTAAAATTGGAACTTCAAAATCTATGAACTTACGACACATATTTAGGACTCTAAATGACTTCAAGTATAAAACTTTTCAACTACAAAGTTATAGATTATATTGAGAACTAAAACTTTACTATAAACCATATCAACATCCGAGGATGTTTGGAAATTTTAATTTTTTAATTTTCAAAATTCATGAATTTAAAATAATATTGTGGGACTCTAAACAGTTTTAAATAAAAAAATTTCAACTACAAAGTTGTAGATCGCGTCAAGGCCATAATTTTTATATAAAGTTTGTCTACATCCAAGTTCATATGGAAAAGTTATAAATTATTTTTGGATACTAGCATCCTAATGCGATTGCCTTTATTAATTGATGATTTTCGGAGGTCGTCAGCTTAGGATGTCCGTCTCCTTAAATGATTTTCATAGGCAAGCATTGTTCTAGATGCCCCCTGACGATTTACGGAGGCGGTCCCTAAGCACGCTCGGCTCCGTTAATCAGAGAGTATATCTCCTAAATTTAAATTTATTTTTACTAGTAAGTCATTTTTGGCGGTTGTCAAGTGAGGAGTATTGATACATTTCCATCCGAAATCAAGATCAATAAGTAGCATAATTTAAATTGAGATTTTCTGTCGCTCATATTAACTTGGGTTGTTCTTAACAAGTCCACTAAGGAGTAACTTATTGTTACTACTCCATTCACAAATATTATATACATACGGTGGACGACAGATAGAAAGCGTTAGTTAAATTTTCAAATAAAATATATATGTTTAAGGACGATTTTGACTGACAATACAAAAGTACGCAGTATATTACTTAAAAATATTTTTAGAAAATAGCTCTTATAAATATTTTCACAATTATATGTTTAACGACGATTTTGATTGACAATACAAAAGTACGTAGTATATTACTTAAAAATATTTTTAGAAAATAGCACTTATAAATATTTCACAATTATATGTTTAAGGATGATTTTGATTGACAATACAAAAGTACGTAGTATTGTTTAGACCAAAATTTGGGAGAAGAACATGGAAACTCGAAGGCTTCCAAGATTATGTCAATCAGATAATCGATTGCATAAGGATCGATATCAGCTGATTCAGATGCAACACTGGAATCGGCTCTCTTTGAATGACGTCAGTAGATAATAACGATGAGCTACAGTTGGCGTCACGAAACTACATATCGGACTCTACAAAAGGGGAAAGATTATGGGTCCAAAATATCTTAAAATAGGAATATTTTCTTTTATATATACCAAAGGTGGTAATGAGTCGTACTTATGTATGATTCATGCTTAAATTCCGGGTATAAATATTGGACCCCGGCTATTGTAAAAGACACAATCAATCAAATACAAGTTATTTATTTTTTTCGGTTCCGGCCAACACTTAGGAGTAGGAGTAGAGTAGATCTCGGCGAGTTCTTCAGCGAGCAGGGCTGCATCGGTCCGGCCGACCTCTGGTTTATCTGTAAGTACCGTCATGGCTTATACTTCTGTTCGTACGGCTGCATCGATAAGGTCGACCTCCACTGCGACTCTGGTATAAGCTAGTTATCGACTATTGTCTAGTTCAAGTACGGCTGGATCCATCTGGTCGACCTCCACTGCTCGAACTAGATTAAGGTCAAGTTATCGGCTCTACCTAAGGGTGGCGTCCTTCGGGTAGATTCATTAAGTTACCGATCTTGCTGATGTTTTTATCGTTATTAGTTTACAGCAACATCAATTCGCCCGATTGAGATCGAACTAGATCGGCCTTATATCCTTTTAGTCCGTCGTTTGCTTTACTACAACACGATGCCTCTTATTCTGAGCGACGGATTATATTTCATCGGCTGTTTTTACTTCGATCTTGATCGAGCATAGTACGCGGTTAAGGCATGAATAATCTTGAAGAGATTTACTAGCTAGTTGAATCTAGTTTATAGTTCACCATTATGGCTGTAACGATCTGGTCGATCCCCACTGATGGCACTATAGATTGGAGGATGCCAGTTAGTAGATTTATTCCTGGTTAGGCGTGACCTTAGCTGTTTACTATGCCTGCAACGGCTAAATAGCCGATCGCCTATGCGATAACGCCTACGGTGTGCGTCCATGATTCCGTTAAGCGTGGATAGATCTGTGTACTTTAAGAGTTTGATTCATTGTCTTTTTTATGGCTGCATCGATCCGGTCGAACCCCACTGTTAGAGACATAAGGTTAAGTATGAGGAGTCCATAGGTTTGTTCATGTGAAATAGTCGATTGTTCACACGTTGTAGTCCTTTTTACCTGAATCGGCTATAGATTCATCCGGACCTTCACGTATAGCATGTCTTTCGGAAAGCCTGTCAAAGTACGGATGTTTTTACGGATTCTTCGGTTTTAGTTTGTTACTGTCATCATAGCTGCCATCGATCCAGTCGAACCTCACTGTTTGTGGTAACAGAGGGCCTGTTCGTTTGGAGGAATTCTGGAGGA